TGTTGTTTATATTTCAAATGATGTGCAAGTGTTGAGATTGTCAGGCTTGATGTTACCTGAATCTTGCACAAGATGCATCCCCGGTTAGTTCACTCTAGTGTAACTGCCATCTATTTATTTAAATTTCCAATCTGTTCTCTCTTCAGGGGATAATACAGTGCCTGGCAAAGAAGCAGCTTCTCAATTTTTCAAATTATATTTTTTTTGAAAAATGGAAAACCTCATGAATAACTTTCCTGTGCTCATAAAGAAACACTGTATTTAAAAGGGAGGTAAATTCCAGGGTATTGCATATAGTTGCAGGTATTTGTCTCCTTTGCTCAAAATATTTAAAAAACAGATAATCAGATATGAAAAGATGTCTTTGTTAGATGGTGGAACTATTTTACTACCTGCAGCAAATAAGACAGATGTAGTATTTTAAAATAGCTTATTTGCAAGAAGTGATTTCTGAAGATGATACCATTAGGTACAGATATGCTTGAATTAAGAATACCATAATGTTCAAAATTCTGCTTTGAAACACAAATGTCATAAGCACACAGATTAAAATGTTTTGTTCCAATGCACTTGACAGAGCAGTGTTCCACTTAAGGATAAAAGGTTGAGCCTATCTCCAGTTGTGTGATGTTCTGGGCACCATATTACTCAACCGTTCATAGAGCAACCAGGAAAACAGATGTCAGAGTATGCAAATTTGATCCTAAATATCTACCGACACATCTCACTGTGCAGTAATAATGCATCTAATTTAATCCTGAGGAATTAAAATCTCAAAGACACATACCAAACAAAATGCTGCTATGAACCAGAAGACAAGAAGGTCACGTTTTCGTCATGTAATAGCAGAAGACACAATATTCTGCTGGTTTTGCCAGAACAAGAACTCAGGGTCTATTCTCAAAGGCTGTTTAAGAAGGCAATTTACATTTACACTTCACTGTAAAAGGCCTTGGTTTCCCAGAAGTCACATCTATGAATTTATTGAGGTATTTTCTGAAGGAAATACAAACTTTTACCTAAGGCAGGAGGATGTCAGAAAGGAGGCCAGGAGTTTCATTAACCTAAGTTATGCTTAGCTGTTATCTTATTCTGTGAGAATCAGAAAATGGTTGATTAAATTATTTGTAATGTCATGACAAATTTTGGAATATTTGGATCAAAAAGTGGATTTGAATAGTACCTTTTGAAAAAGTGAGATTTTATTTTACCATTTTAAACAAATGGCGCCTTTTGCTTATTTTGCTTTTTCCCTTCAAATCTGCTTCAGTGGTTTGGAAGGTCAAAAAAACCAACAACCCCAAACAGAAATAACTTGTCACGCAAAATTAAATGGCGGTTTTATTTTCCCAACCTAAAACTGATCAGCATAGCCCTGGTATGAGAAGGAGCTCATATTCTTCCCCATGTTATCCATCTAGTTTGAATGCTGGAGCTCATTTCATTCTGATAATCCAGGCTCAGGTCTCTTCTGCCTTCTACATGCTGGACTCATGAAGAGTGGAACTCTCTCATGGGAGCGCATGAAACAAAGATATAAATCAAATATTTTGTGACAAGTCATTTTTCCAGTGCAGGAAATCTCCTTGGCTTCTCCTCCTTTTGGCTTTGGCTGTGATCAGCAGAGAACGTCACTGGCAAATTATCAATGCAGCTCAAAAAGTGTTTAATCAATGAGACTTAGTAGTGTAGGCCTATATTTTTAGAGCTACAGGCTCAAATCCATGAGACCTACACCCAAGATACTGGCAATATGTCACTGCCACATAGTGAAAAGTGGCAATAACAAAGCATAGTAGGTGGATAGGGAGAGGAACATCATCACGGGCACTTAGAGAAAGTGAATACACTCTTGGCTAACAACATGAAAGGTGCAGGAAAAAATGTCCACACTGCCAGGAAGGAAAAAGTTATGAAGGATTTCATCGGCAGGACCCTGAAGACCTTAAAGGAGAAAAAGAAAAGGAAAGAGGAAAGAGGAAAGAGGAAAGAGGAAAAGGAAAGGGAAACGGAAAGAGAGAAAGGAAAAGGAAGATACTCATAAAACAGCACTGTCTGTCACAGTCTAAAATGGAAAGTGGTGAGAAATTGCACTGATCCACAGTTTGATGGGTTTCTCTGATTTCTGCATAAACCAAGTGTTCAAACCAAGTTCTTTGCAGATAGGAAAGGATTTGGGATAGTCCACAGAGATCAGGGAATGGAGGGCAAGTCATAAACCCTCATGCTTTCACAGGTATGCAAGGCCTCATATGCAGTGAGTTCCCAGCCCCAGTCACCAAGCAGTGCATTTTGACAAACCAGTTCTTTTTTTCTATGAAGCTCCATACCAGTAGAGACAACCTGGCTGAAATTTTATAATTAACTTTTGTTTCCAACTGGCATAAAAGATCCCTCTATACTCTCTCACCCACTCTCCTCTATGGCGGTTACTGCTGTACCAGGTGACTTCGGCACGCGAGAGGAATAGGGATATGCTGACAACAGTGGGGTGAGAGTTTCCAGCCAAGTCTGGTACACAAAAACAATGATTTCTTTAAGTCTTATGCTGCAGTTTGCAGAAGGTGAAAAAAGATATTGTCACCTCTGTTATAGACTCAATAAATATCTAGACAACAACAGGGGACTGGCTGATGAGCCTAGTTCATCTCCGCTCACCGTCACATTTCCAAGGTTATTTTGACAACAAAAGTTGCTTGGATTTAGACCAAGTTGTCTACATCTGTGATTGCAAAGCAGTATCTTGGGATGACAGATGTTTAGCTATTTTGGCTTGCTTTTCAGCTAGTGTTGCTCAGTGAAGTTCTGGAGGCACTGCAGGAGCTGAAACCTGCACGGTGGGCACCTGCAGCTCTCTCATGAGCCAGCAACAAAACTCAGGAGTCTTTTGAAGTGGGTACCACGGGGAGGTCATGCCTTTCCTTAAGAAAACAACTGCAAAGCATCTGCTCAAAAAACAATCTTTCAAGGTAAATCATGCCAAGGCAGATATATTTTGATCTGTCTTTTCTTTAGGATGAGTTGTCCAGGCTTTTGCAGCAATGCAAATCTGGTGATATCCAGAGACCTGAGATATTGTACCCAAGTTTTAAATATGTGTGTGTGTGTACATATATCTATCTTCTGTTAGCTTCACTGAAGTCTGCATTTAAATTGTGAATGTATGATGACATGAACTGCCTTTTGCCAGAGTTAAAGAAGTTTCTTTTTAGTGTTGCTTTAGTTCCATTTTTAGGATGATTGATTTTTTTAAGCAATAAATAATAAAGTTACCATTTTTGTTTCTTAATTATTTATATTAAATTCTGTATGTTTCTGAAAGTTTATTTTTATTTCCAGAGAAATAGTCATGTCCATGGTGTTGGTCTATATCATGCTCAAATATTCCTATATTACACTTGTGCATATATGCCAAACTCTGGTGAAATGTCCCTCAGGAGAACCAAAGCTCTAAATACTTGGAATAAGTTTTAATTAAGTATGGAAACTTCCCAGAATGAAAAGAAAAACCCTTCTAAATATAGACATCTTAAACATCTTGCAAAAAATCCACATTCAGTTGCCTCAAGCAATGGCTAGCCATACGGAAGAAATTGTCCAGACTTCTTGCATTTTCTGGCTTAGTTCAGGAAACCTCTAGGCCTTACTACATAAAGAAAAACTTCCCTATAAAAGATTAACTCCTAAAATATTCAATTGAAAACAGATTTTGGGAACAGATGGATCTAAAACACTCTACTGTATTGTATAACCTCTAGAAGAGCTGGATTGGAAGCTAGGTAAGAATTAAAAATTCTTATATTTGGATATCTTTCCTCCTTTTCTCCTGGTTTATCAATCCATCCGGGTTACTTTACCAATCTCCCGGTTACTTAATGAATTATTTAATGAGAGCAGTGTATGTGGTGAGAATATCAGCCAGCCAAACTAGTAACAGATGGAGGTAACAGTGACAACTAGCAGCAACCAATGCAGTACTCAAAGAGACAGTAGGGTGCATCTCTGCTCCATGCTCCAAGGATGCAACACTTTGCACTGTCCTTCTCCAGCTTCCCAAACACGTTTCATAGTTAGAACAGAGACCAGTGTGTTGACAGCTAGATAGCCTACGTCTAATCTGGATAATTCTGAAACAGTGGCACAGAATCACAGTTTCTTGTGACCTGGCACACAGTAACGTAACGTGCTTGGCCACCACGTGGGGAAAGAATGCCAAACACAATTGCTAAACGCATAATGAAAACAAATACAACTCTAAGGGGTGTGAGGAGTTGTTTGCTTGATCTTTTTAAAAATTCTTTACCATGAATAATTTTATTTTTTTGCTTCTTACTTTCTATGTTAACTATTAAAGACAGGAATCTTCAAGCTGCACCCTTGAAAAACATTAAGTCAGTGAGTGTACCTAGAAAAAACAAACAAGCAAGCAAACGCATACCAAAACAAGACGCTATCTTGCACAAGTAATTCTAACCCTAAAGAGGGAATGAAAGAATGGATGGTGTGTGTCAGAGATAAGTTGTACCACTGCATCTGAGGGCCACGTTAAAATGCAGCTCATGAGGGCAATTTAAATGTCAGGAATTGGGACAGTCGCATGCATCTAATATAGTAACAGATCAGTCAGAGAAATAAAAACATTTTAGGAATCAGGCCTGTAATATGAAGGATGTTTGTAACAGGTTGTCTTTATTACGAGAGGATTTCCAAGGTAGATCATGACAGCAACTGAGCAGAAAAAAACCCCAATCAAACAAACCACTAATATCCTGAAGGCTGTGTTTTAGCTGTTGAAGCACAGCTAGATGGACAGAGGTTATGCATTTCAAGCAAGTGCGTGAGTATCATTACCATTGGCATAAAAATGGCAGAGGAATGGGGGAAAGCTAACAGGGCGAGTAATGAAATACATCGGAGTGAAATCAGCTCCCATGCTCTGACTTCTGGATGGCTCCCGCTCTTAAGAAATAATACACTGAAAAGTATCAAATGCTGCTTACCTTTCAATTTTTCAGCCAGCAAAGCAGCTTCGTGTTCAGAATAATGCATTATTGCCGGGGGAGAAGGAGGGCGCAGTCTGTCTTCTTCCATTTTGCGTCTGTGGCGTTCTTCTCGGGCCAGCATTCTTTGTTTGCATTCCCATTCATAAAAGTCATCTCTTGCCTGAGCAAAATCAACATGAAGGCGACCTGAATCCTTTTTGTCTGTGCTAGATCCTAATCTCATGCGGTAACCTGAAACCAACAAGCAGAACTAACTGTTGCAGGACTTCTTTGTTTGGTGTTTTTTTAATTTTTTCTTTTCTTTTTTTTTCTTTTTTTTTTTTTTCTCCTCAAGTGCAGTTAAGTAAAAATGAACATTAACAGATTCCCACATTTCTATGCAGGATGTATCGATCCTCATATTTTCACAGGAAGATAAACTTGCTTCCACTCATTTTTCCTCACAATTTTCTGCATCATCTATCAACATAGTAGATGGGCTGAAAAAGTCAACCTAAAGGTACAGAATCTATGTTCCTGCTTAGGAGTCTCTCAAAATATGTCATTTTTCTACCTGATACTCCCAACCTTTATAAGTGTAAAGGTCAGCTAAACAAAAAACAACTATGAAAAAAAGATCTGTTTTGGTCTGAATGTAAAGCCCTTCTTCCTCTGATCCTGTTGAGATCATGTGCAGTTTAGTGCTTTTTTCCAGCCTGCCAAAGGAATTGGAAGTATGGAGAAAGATTGAATTTCATAAAAATCATGACTACAGATGAATGAGAAAATTGTGCTATATAAATTCCTGGGCCACAAAGAGGGTGGTGCCATATCTGCATTGATGCAGACCTCAAATTTTGAGGCTTTACAATTGCAAACTACTTCCCAGTTCCTTATCGGAAATACTCTGGCAGCATCTATAAACCACCTACAAATGAATTAAGTTCAGCATTCTTTAAAGTAATTTTAAAAGTGTGGATGGATTTATTAGACATTTGCAAGACCCCTTTCAGAACAAATACTGAAACTTGTTGTGCCCCATCCTTAGCGATGTTCTACACATTCATAATTTGGTCAATGTATGATATGCTAAAGCTAGCAGACTGCACAGGCTTTAAGGCAGGGCTACACAGCAGTGCAACAGGGCCCTGCTCTGAGCTAAACCCCTTGACTGCTGTCACAGAACAAACAAATCACACCAAAGCTATAAAAGGAGCTTTTGTGACCATACTGCGAAAGAATATATGCTATCTTTTTTCAAGTTTTATCTCCAAGGCTGAAAGATACTTTCAGAGCAGTTTCTCCAACTTTTAAAATGCTGAGAAAGCGTGAGAAAACACTACGTAGAAAGCTGCAAACAGAGCCTTCAGATGCGGGTAAAATTAATCAGTTTGCACAGGGCTAGCTCTAATTTCTCCACGCCAACCTGCTGCAGTAGCCTCAGAAGCAGAGCAGCCCAGCAGAGACTTCTCAAATCGCGGGATGCTGTGGAGATGAACTCTGTGCTGAGCTGGCATATAGGAGGCTCTTCAGAAACACAAACTATTACAACCACTGCGTAATAACTCCAGGGGCAGGACATTCCTGTTCAAAACAACAGGAAAAATGGTGGTTGCTGCTTTTGAACTGCAATCCAAGAGAACCTATGTTTCAGTCTTGTGGTTTGCCTGTGGTTTGAAGAGCTTCAGCAACTCACCACCACAGTTAAAACTCAGTTTTGAACCCTCTCCAGGGACAGCAAAGCTAAGACTTGTGTAGTAGATTAGGAGCACCTTTGCAAAAATGTGTATCTAGGTATACTTGGTTTGCTGTACTGCTGGAAAAACATCCTGCTGTATGAATACAAGGGACTGTCTGCACTACAGCACATATGAGACAATAGCTTCAAAGACATTAAATATCCATATATGTAGTAAACCCTCCAAAACAAACAATCCAGGTGCCTTTTGATTTGACATTTTCCTTTCAAACATCTTGTGGAGTTCAGCGAAGTAGCCTGTCAGTGAGGAAGAGGTATGACTTTCATTTTCCAGCAAGGACTCCAAACCCAGATGAAAAACTCAAGCTAAGTGTTTCAGAGGTCCCTCAAAGCCAGAAGGCATCAGAAACTTCCATGGAAACTACCAATTCTGGTCTCCATGGTTCGTAAGCTTGGGGTGAAGTAGGACCAAGTATTGCAAGAGAGGCAAACAAGGGGACTGTTCGTTATTTTAAAGCTCCTCCATTTTGCTCTGCTTTCTCTTGCTTAGAGGAGTAAACACTACTTTTTCCCCCAGAAGGCTATTTGTGATCATATATGTAGCTTTAGTCACAAGATGTTGAAGGGAAGAATTACAGATGCACCATATTCAGTAAGCCACAATAGAAGAAGAGTGTGGGTGACCTTTCAGAGCTGGGCCCTGAAATATTGAGGGGGTAATTATGTGGTTTTATCCACAGAGGTGTAGGCACGAAGGGGTCAGCCAAAAGGGGTCAGTGGTGCAGCTACCCTGATAACCGTGACAAATGTTAACCCCTCCAGTCTGACTCGCCAGCTGCATTCCTCAAATAGTGATTGCTCTGTGCCAAAACAGCATTATCAGCAATGTGAAAGGACACTGCCAAGGTGCCAGGTCTCGTGAACCTAAAATTAGATCTCCCAGCTGGGCTGTACTTTCCAGGAAGATGCAGTCTCTCCTCCTCTCCCCCCTCTTTTGCCTCCGTTGGCAGGAGCACACCGGGCATGGACAGACCAACAAACACAGTGCTGCTGGAAGTAAGACCCACTTAGGACTGTCCATCTACAAATTGTGTGTGCACTAGCAAAGCTAAAGTGGCCCCCATTTCTGAAGTCAATGGGGATAATGGAAAAAGAAACATAGAACAGTGTAAATTGCAGTCCATAACCAAGTACCCTGTGTAGCACCGGACAAATGGTTCCCTTTAGGTAATCAGTTTAAGTCCTTTGCAATTAGCAGATTTTTGAAATTGCCCATAAATCATACTGAAAAAAAAATCTCACTGCTTTTTTAACTCTTAAGACTGATGATGGCCAGCCAGCCAGGTGGTTTCCACCAGCACAGAAACCTAGAATAACCTGGGTCGGAAGGGGCCTTGGATGTCATCTAGTCCAATCCCCCTCACAGAGCAGGATCAACTTCAAAGTCAGATCAGGTTGCTCTGGGCTTGGCATCTTTCCTTTAACAAAAAAGCAAATGCCTTTGGTATGGCTTCTTGTACCCTCCTAAATCAGGCTTTGCGGACACCATAGGACCAATGGCCTCGCCAGTGAAGAAGAGAGTCCTTGACTGGTTGATAGCCAGCAAGATGTTGGGTAGCAAGAGGTGCACAACTGGCAGGTCCTATTTTGTATATGGGATCCTCAGGTACGCATTTGGGTTGGCAACTTTGAATTGTGGGGCAGCTGGGAGGCTCGCTCTTTTCCAATACCATGTCTCCTTATCGATGTTTGAGAGTATTTGGATATATGAGAGAACCACCTGCTATTGCTCCCCTTCACGCATGGGCAATGAATTGCCCTCACAGTACCTTTTCCTCATCTCTTTGCTCAGGACTGCAGCTACCACCAACTGCGTGCCTGGCTCATAATTTTTAATTTCAGTTTTGCACACAATGGCAGAGGAAAAGACTTTGGGAACTTGCCAAGATCCTCACTTTAAAGGAGCAGCAACAGGAAAAATTAATGAGGGTGCTAAATAAAAATCAAACACAGTATTTCCATATCACAGATCTAGTCAAAACTCCCTGGCTTGACTTACCTTTGAGTGTTGCTATATTGGGGACCAGCCAACAGTTGCTTTCTAACTGGGGATCTAGATCAGAGTGTTGATGATCAGTGAGAACATAAAATAAAACCAGTACACAGTATCAAATGGAAACCCACAGGGGAAAATATCAGCACAGGAGAAATGTATACTCAGGCTTTTGAGGTATAAACAGGTCTGTCCCAAGCCACCTGCTTGTCCTGTGTTTTCAAGTCCAGCACCATCAATATTTGCAGGAATTACTGAATTGTCAGCCACAAAAGTACATACAGCTTGGAGAAAGAGCTTCTTCATGGGCTGGTATGTTGATTTTAGAAAGTCTTTACCTCAGGAGATCAAAATGTAACTTTCAGGGCTAAATGAAAACTGCCCTTCCTCAAGTCAATGTTTTTATTATATTCTTTTACCGATCTCCCAGTCTCCTTTTCATACACATTTACTTGGGAATAGAATGGGAAAAAATCAGTGATTGAACTACTTGACGGATTTTGTAATCACTTGCACTATTCTGATGATAAGCACAGGATAAATACTAAGTTTGATGAGATTAGATGGGATAGACAGATAAAACTGATTAGGTAGACAAAATTATCATTATATTACAGATATCAAAGGCATGAATCTCCCCTAATATAACACGCATACTATATTAACTACAAATTCCTTTTGTACGTCTCTTTTGTCTCTTACAGGGAAAAGAAAATGCCTTAACAATACACTTTATCCCCAGCATTTCAGAATACATTATGTTTGAAAATGGAATAAAGATTGGTTAAACCCCCGCAATATTTCAGTACAAATAAAACATGCCCCTGCCTAGCGCCAGACCTCCCTGCTCTGCAGTGCTGAGGAACAATCAGTGCTCCCTTTTTCATCTGAAGACTTCAGCGCTGGTGGTAAAAAGAAGTGAAACCTGACTGCAGCGTTCCCCTTATTCTAAACGCACACTCCAGTGTGTTATGAACGACGATATATGGGCAGCACAGGCAATTTCCTACTAATCATCAAATCTGGCCCTCCAGGATTTAAGGCATATGAAACTAAAATAAAACTAGACTTGGAGTGAAGCAAAGAGTGCAGTCAACTGCCGAGAAGCAGAAAACAGAGCTAGAGGGACACTGGCTCTAGCCCAGAGTGGCAGCCTTTACATTTCTGAGCTTTTCTTTACTCTCTTGCCACTGTTTTGTTTATTATATACAGTAATCCCAGCTCCTACTGAATCTGGTGTGCTCCTCCTCTACTCTGTCACTTGTGGAGATGGGGCTCCCTAGACAGAAGTTAGAAGTTCGGAAATGTGCTTCTGCTTCTTACTGCTGTGATGTCTGTAATCTACCCCAATGAACTACAGTATTATGAAACTAGTAAGTGAATAAACAAATAAACAGGAAGGATGGAAAATGGGAAGAGAACATGATGAAGGAGGAAGAAATGAAGTGAAAATTTAAAAAAGAAAGAAAAAAACAGGGTGGAATGAAGATCTGGAAGAAACTGAAAATACAGCAGTATTTCAAAGAAATGTTTATATAGACCTCGTAAAACCCACAATTTTCTGTTGCTCTTCAAATAGGTATTTAAGGGAAGCAGCCAAGTTAGAAAAAAAGCCTACAAACCCAAACACAAAAACAAAGGAGCTAGGTTTTTCCTGATCACATATTTCAAAAGTTCAGGTGTTCTTTTCTTTTCTTTTCTCTTTCTTTCTTTCTTTCTTAGGTGCAGTTGATGGTGATTTGAGACACCACTTGTTTCTAGCTGTGTGAGCTTCCTATCGAGACCTACAGGACTTTGAGGTTATGTCCTTACTGCTCAACAGAAGTTGGTTTGGGTGGGAGCTCAAACAAGGTATCCCTAATTGTCAGCTGCCTCCCAGTCTCCATTTTGGATGGTCCCAGTGGGTCCTCTCGAGGTCACCCTGCACAAGGCGGGTGGCTGTAAGCCAGTCCATGTCAGCTTGTCTTGGCCAAGGAGCAGTCCCTGGCCCTTGTTTATTTAAGAATACCTTACATGTGGGGTGAAAGTGTTACACTACACTTGTGGGGCAAAACAAAGCTTTTGGGTCTCCCCAGGATGCAGAAAAGGAATGAACCAGCCTGTGGACATACATAGAGGGGATGGGATCTAGTTGAGAAAGGTGAAGAAAGGCTCGGTTAGGAAGCCAATCTTCATATGAAGGCGCCTGTAACCTAAAGAGCGCACTGACAGTCACTGAAGCCTGATATGTGAAAGCACAGTTGTTTTTCATCTTTTTTTTCCCCTGTGAGTTAGAGGGTTTTTTGTCTGTTCCTTCATTCAAAAATAAAAAGAAATTCTGAAATTCTACACCTGAGTTTCTGTGGCATTTGTTGTCCTGGGAGGCAACAGACGTAGCCCACAGATGGGGCTCAGAATCTAACCCAGGCGGTAGCTGAATACATGCACACATAAAGGCAGACTTTATTCAGACTGCACTGCAAATCTATAAAAATATGCCAATGAAATTGCCAGCCTATCAGAGAAATTGGCACCGGAAAACAGCAGCATACCTGGCCTGGTGCCCTCCTCTTTCTACAACCTGTGAGCAAAACTATATAAACCTGTGTAAATCGAAAATAAGATTGTTCTGTAGTGAATTTCAGGATCTGTTGCATTGTTGTGGGATGGCAGGAAATTGCTCCTGGGTAAGCAACACACAAAACCAGGCACTAGTCTTGGCAGACAGAGAAATACAGAATTGCCCCTTGCCACTCCAACCTACAGCCACTGAGCTCAAGAAAGACTTGCTGAGATAAAAGCTAAGAAAATAAGCAAGCATTAGCATCACAAAATACAAATGAGAAGCAAGGAAAATCCATTAAAGAATGTGAAGTACCAGAAAGGTAAATGGCTTTATCAACCATGAACTCCTCTGCAAAACGAATGTGACAAAAATTCTTCTTGCTTTTCCGAATTGCTGTTATATCTCCACACTGTTCAAAGACTTCCTGAATAATTTCCTCCGTCGCATTTTCTGGTAATCCTCCAACAAACACTGTTTTACACCCAGGAGGTCTCTCTCGTGTTGAAGGTGGTGGAAGATCTAAGTCAAAACAGAAATCACATTGCAATACAGAATTTGCCTTTTGATCCATTGGCTCTATTCATTCCCCTAATCAGTTTGGGGCAGCAACAGTTATTTGACATAGCATGGAGGCGGGAGAGAGGGAGAAGCAAAATAATTTAATATTACAGAGGTTGTCCAAAATTGATGACTTGAATCTAAACCTTTTCAAGTTTTAGGTGGCATTTCAGAGATTAATTCCTGCCACTGTGGGTTGTTCTCCAAGACAGACAGTAAGGTCTAAAAGGATCTTTCTTTTCCCTGCACAGTCACACAAAAAATAGAAAATATTTGGTTTCAAAGCAGGGGATTTTCTGCAATGGGTTTGACCCTGAGCACAGATCTCAAGCCCTGGTCCAATACATTCAAAGACTGAACTTCACCATCTCTCATTCATACCCATCACTCGCCACACTTGCCAAGTGTCTGGGTCCCCTAGAAGCCAGCCCGTGCTGTGTACACCCTGGGCACTTGGGCTGGACACTTTTCCCAGGTCTTAGATATAATTTCATTTCTGTCACAGAGTACAAGAGCACAGCAAACAGCAAAACAAAGTGGGAAACACGACAAAGTGACAGCATGATGAAAACGCTCTGCCGGTTATCTGTTTTGTCTTGTTGCCAGATAATGGAGCGGATGCCAGCACACGGGAAGGATAACCTCACTGTTTACAAGTGCTCATGAGGTGGAGAGGCTAGAAATGCTATTTTTATGTGTATATATGTAAATATATATATATAAAATATAT